TTATATCTTTTATCTTTGAAACCCCCCCCCCCCCCCCCCCCCCCCAAAAAAGACAATCTCTGAGCCCTAATATTCAGTCACAGTTCAAATCTTTCTAGTCATAAGGAGTTCTTGAGGGAGACATTTTCTGTGCCTTCCTACACCACCGTTGATTTTTGCTTAAAACTTTCTCCGTAGGATTTGAACTCCAAAAACGGCTGACAGAAGCGACACGCAAGACATGGCTGTGGCTGTGTACCTGGGTCCGAGACATTCTCCTTCTTCTTCTGCGCCATGCCAACAGCAAAGCAGGGACACAGAAAAAAAGCAGAGATTAGAAAAGAGAGAGACAGAGAGAGAGAAAGAGAGAGAGAAAGAGAGAGAACGAGAATATGGAAAGTAAAGATTTAAAGGCAGTGGGAAGAGGCACACACATGTACACACACGTACACTTGATAGAGTAGTCGAGAGGAGGAAGCAAAGAGGGCAGCGTTTCAAATCCTTTTCATAAGCGAAGGGGCGGCGGGGGGGTTGTGGGGGAAGATAAGAGGAGTTTGGATTGAAAGGAGAGAAAGGCAGCAATAAGCTGTAAGCATGACGGCACACATGATGGCAGCGTGCACGTCCACCTTCAGTTCTTCAGCACTGGGATTTTCTCTGTGATTTTATTTTGGAGGGCTGAGCAGCAGTGCAGCAAACTAAAAAAAAAGGGGGGCAGTAAAGCATGTGTGCACGCCGTCGGAGTGTGTTACCTCTATGTAGGAGAGTATGTCTGTGGTGAAGAGTGTGTGGCAGAATTGGGAAACTGGCCTGGACTTCCGAACCCGGACTGACCGAGTTGTACATTGCATTCTGGGAAATATAACAAATGAAATGCTTGTAATCAAGACGTAATGATGTCTAACAGATCTGTGCAAATGTTTTTTAAACACCACTAATTTATGTACTTTGTCCTTCCAATTAACTTTCTTGAAATTTTTAGAAAAGTGGCATGTATCCACAGTTTTCCCAGTGTTTCTGAAAGTCTAGAAGTAAAATATAAAGACGAAATTGAGAAAAAATAAATACTTATGCATTGTAATATCGTATTTATTTTTACTGTTATGATGATCAATTTTTAAAAATTTGCTCCATGTATTTCCTCTGCCCCTCCCCTCGACTTCTCAGCTGTCCTCTCTCAGGCACACTTTTTTTTTTTTTTTTTTGAACATGCGCATGGAGCCCATTTACCTGGAGGGGTCGCTGTCCACAGCTTCTGCTGGAAGGAAGATACAGAAGAAGTGTGAAACATGGAAGACTAACAAGTGTAGAAGTAAACCGATGCAATAGGAATGGTAGTAAAGTTCCTAAGCAATTACAATCTCACTCGCAATGTACATTTTTTTTACACTTTGCCACATTAATGACCACAAAGTTCAATAATTTTTTACATTTTTAAAATTAAATTTTTAAAATTTGAGTGAAATTTTATGGAAAAAGGAAATATCTGGGAGAGAAGCAAGAATAAAGTGGAAGAAACATCACATATGAGTTTATTTCTAGAAATAAATATTTAGAAATAAAACCAAAAGTATGTCCCGTGATTCAACAATTTGTTGAATCACTATTTGATGCAATTACAGCTGAAATGTTCCTATTTGTAGAAACAGAAACATTTATGCCCTCCTCTTTGTAAAATAACTATAATTGTCAGATTTTACGGAAAATGTTGGAATTTGACTGAGACCTAAAATGAAAAAAATAAAAATTTAATATTCTGTGACATATCAATATATATCAATATACATATATTTATAAATAATTCAATAAACAGTGGTGGACTGCTTGATTCTACCACCATCAAAATCAAGCCGTTTCCAAGAGAGAGTGCAGCTTAGTCATGTACTGGCACAGTAAAAATAACTTTAAAACAGGATGAAACACCATGAGAGGAAAGATTAGTCATGATCTTTTGTTTCACATAAATTTTCCACAGAACTGTGTAAAAACCATTAGTGTTCGGCTATTTCATCATTTCTGCCCATCATGTTCTGTTAGCCTGAAGGGCCTCATGAAAGCAGACAGATTCTTGGTAATGCTTTTGCACAATTCTCCACACTGATTATTAGCAATGTTGGGTTTAAGCTGCTTCTAATACGCTGCACAAATATATGAAGAGCACCTTTCTGTATGGCATCTTGTAGAAGATCGTGTTTGGCTTGAAGTTTGGAGGCCAGAGAGCTGCTGTTGAGGAATTCTTTTACTTTCTAAATGAATAATAAAAAAGAGAGATATCAACAACTAGATCACTCAAAAAAAAAAGGGGTAGTGAAATGTGTCCAACTCACTGTTAAGTAGTAAGTCTCTGTCTCCTGCTGATTGGCTCGACGCTTGGCGAGGGAGAGTTTCGCCGTGGTTGTGATTCCTCCAGGCGGCTCGTGTGATAGGCTGGCAGACACGTCGGGGGAGGGGTTGCACTCGCTGTCACACATGGAGTCCAGCAAGGCAGCAAGCGTGGCTTTAAGCGTTTTACTGATCTGAAAAGACGGAAGGAGTGATCGAGTTGTGTTTTCTGTGTTTCCATCGAGCAATTCTTGATCAAAAAACACAAATTGCCTGCAGTGATGCTGTTCATAACGCAAAAAACACAGTATTAACTGACCTCCTCAGTTTCCAAGGTGACGGCGGCGAGTCGAGACTGAAGCTGCTGGAACCTGGTTTCGAGCTCATACCTTACCTGGCTCTCCGCACTCACCTCGCACACCTAAAAAGTTACAAAAAAATAATGTGACCCAAAAAATAAGGCTTGTTTGGTTTGGTTAGAGGAATCCTTTAGATCCATTTCCAGTCATCATTGGGCAAGATGTGCTCAGTTTACAGGGCAAAACAGGAAAAAACAACTTTAACACACAAAAACATGCTAATACCTCTGAGGACAGTTAAAAGTCAAATTTAGGACTGTAGGACCACTGAGCATCTCCACAGACTTCCATATATTTCTAAATTACTTTATGAAATATCGTTAGCATATCACATTACTGTGAAGCGTAAACAGAAAACTATGTTGTGCATTTGTATTCATCGCCCCCCACCTGAATAGTTTATGCTTAATTTATTGTTGAGTAGCTGAAAAGAAAAAAGAAATCCCATTTGAGATTTTAGTTTTTAAAAATATTTTTTTTAGATCTGCAAGTACTTTTGAGCTGATGATTTTGGCCCACGTGATAAAGGTTTGGACACCCATGGTTTAGATGACAGCATTGTCATGTATTCAAAGGGTTCAGTCAAATTCCAGGCCTAAATCTAATTGTGAATTAGACTTGAAAGTTGATGTTTATAGGCACTCTCTATCACAACTGGAGCTATGTTGGAAAGAAATCAGCAAAATCTGCAGTCTGACGAGACTCACCCATAAAAGACTTCTTCAAAGGTTTGAGTCAGTTGAATTCAAAAGCACACCACACTTTTAAGATGTTCATCCATAAAGTGTTGAAATTCATGAATCGTTTTACTTCCATTTCACAACTATGCTTCTACACCGAACCTTGTGGCTCAAACGCAACTAAAAGTGAAAACCCTCAAGTGGGTTGAAATACTTTTAACTCATGTTGGACATCCAGGATGTTTCATCTTGGCACTGGACACCATAGCAACAAAGAGTCACAGTACCTGGTCACCCTCATGTGGGTGATAGTTGAATCTGAACGGAAGGCAGAAGGCGGCATCATGTTGCTGTAGCAACGCATCCCTGTCTCCACTCTGGTCCAGGGATGTCACAGCAGTTTCCAGCTGCTTCAGCCCGGTCTCCTCCGTCTTCTGAATCCGCCACCTGCTGGCCAGGTAGCACTTCATCACTCTCTCCACGGACAGATGGAAACCAAGATCACAGCACTGCCAGGAGAAACAAGCAAAGAGAAGATTATGTAGGACTTGTGAAAGGTTTTTGAGAAATCTTTGCTATGTACTAACTGTTACTGCTTTCTAAGATCCAAAAACCAAAAACTATTCCAAAAATGGCCGTGGGTAGTGAAAGGTTTTTTTTTTTTTTGGGTGACAACAGATGATTTGTTTCTTAGATGAACTTCTGACTTGATAATTTGATGATTATATGTAATTTATTTCAAACAAAAATATAGACAAATCAATAACTAAAAATGTTGTGCAACTTAGATGGAAACGAAAGCTAACTTAATCTGACCCTACACGTTCAAAAAATGGTCACGCCGGACATTTGGCAAACAAAAGACATCTCCACACCCTTTAATCTCTTAAATTAATGAAAGCGTATAAAAGTTACTAATGCCATCTTAACAATTCCAAATGTAAAAAGTAATTACAGATTTTGGCTCCAAACTAACTTCATTATATTCTAACTACCCAAAGAAAAACTAAATTGATAGAGCTTATTAATTACAAAACTTCAACATAAATGACCACAAACCTAACCCTTCATCATAACAGCAGCATAACTGCACTTGAAAGCAAACAAACTTGTGAGTAGTTTTCAAAATCCCCAGAAATGTTCCTTACGTCAATGAGAGTGCTGACATCCTGCAGGTAGTATTTGTTCATGGCTGCATTAGCCGCAGCTAGATTCAACAGGTAGTCATTTCGTGCCTTTGTACACTTCAGCTGGGTCTCCTGCATTTTTCCATGTCTCTGTTCACACAAACACATGAAAAATCACATTTTTAAAAAACTCAGGAAACTCACTTTTAAAACTCAGCAGAAATTTCCATTTGCAGATGTTGAAAACACCTGAACTCATTTAGCTCAAAGAGGAAAAGGAAGTGGTTTCCGCTGCAGTAACCTCACTTCAAGACTTCCTGTGGTTTTGTTCACTGTTTCTGTTCCAACAGACGTTCACATTCACCTTCTCCATCAACCGTTCCATCTTCTTGACGGAGCTCCGCCGCTGCCCTGCCAGTTGGCCGGGGCCAAGCTCGGCCGACTTCCCAGTGTGCCTTTCTTCCAGACGCTCGGCTTCCTTCAGTTTTCCCTCAGCTGTCAGGCAGTCTGTGTGGTACTGGTTGTAGGTCTTCAGAGCCTTGAAATGCAGAACAACAAAACGTGTCGTGAGCAAAATCAAGAGTGTTGTCCTTTTAACGTGCCAGATTATGAACTCCGTCTGCACACGCCATCTAATAACTGGTGTTACGTACCGTCTGCAGTTCAGTGGTGACCTTTAGCAGCTCATCCTGCATCTGGATTCCCACCTCTTTGCTCTGCGATGTGCACAAGTGTAGATTGTTAACGGAAAATGTGAAAAGTGTATGTGTAAATATTAAGACACATTTATAGTGGCCAGCTAGATTTTTATTTTTGTGGTCTTGTCTGTCATTTTATCAATGCATGGGTGATGATTTTCTAAAATGTTTTGATAGATTTCCAGTAAGTGTTATATTTTTAGTATTTATTCTGGTTATAAATGGTGCCTTATACACAATGCTGAGTGTGGCACTGTGGGTTATATTTGCACAGTTCAAAATTATTTTTTCAACACCCTTTGGCCAGTTAACTAAGACAGTGACTTTGGTGGGCTTTTTCAGTCATCCCAAAGTTTTGACTTGTGTAAACTAAGACTAAAATAATATTTCACATCTGTTTTCTGCTGTAGCTAATGAAGCTAATGCAACAAAACAGAAGTTGCAACTGGCAGTACAGTATAATTGAAAAAAATATTGTATTAGCCTAAAATATGGATAACACTAGAAAGTTATAACTTAAGTCTGATGCAGCAATTTACCTCAACAAAACCTTTACAGCTATACTGTAAATAAAGACAACAACAGTATTTCCTGAAAAGGAAACGCTCGTAAAAATGTACAGAGAAACAGTTACTGAAAAAGACAGAAATAAAAATACCTCAGCGGGAGCTAAATCTCCCATTGTGGACGTAAGCTAGTATTAGCATCGCAGCACAGCTAGCGGCTACAGTAAGGGAGCAGTTTGTGCTTTCTTTACTCTTTTGCTGAGGTGCTGCGTTAGCAACTGATATTCTTAGCCACCATAAGTTCCTTTAGCAATGAGTCAAGTGGTATTAATGTTCAGTAGGGAGTAGCAAGGTCTTTACAAAGCTAATGTAGCAAGTAGCTCTTATCCTAAGAGATGAATGTAGGCACATGTATCCAGACGAGCTAATGATGTAAGAAAGAAGAGCAGCCTCTTTGAAAAAGAATTTGGTGTCTGAGTCCGTGAGTGTTTTTTTTCTGACACATTATATGTCAGTTAATAATTTAAGAAATATTTGTTACAGCAGCTGCTAGACATTGGCAATGTGGAAGCACAAATATAGAAAATATGCATGTCTAAATTAGTTTCTTTGCATCAGCAACATTTAAGATAGCTCAGTTGAACTGATATAGGGCACATATTGTGATTTGGTTTACTTGAATATTAAAGGGACAATTTCAATGCCAAAGAAACAACTGGGTTTCTTCTGCAGAGAAAAGGGAAGGCGACTTATTTATCCCAGCATATTCCTCTTGCCCATTTCTACTTTTGGCTAGGACATTTTCTCATAAATAATACAATGACTTATGCTCCAGAGCACAGCAGTATATTTATGTCCTCTGCAGAACTGAATGCAGGATTTAAAAACTAAAACTGTGTCTTTAATTACTCATCAAGTCAAAGTTGGAAGCAGAAGTCCATGATATACATTCCAACATCTAGCCTATGTCAGTTCAAATGATATCATATAGAAATGCAGTTTCTGTTTCCCACAAATATGAAATATACTGTATGTAGTAATTAACAAAAAACAAAACACTCAAGAACATATTCTTGCTACATTTTGTTTCCAGTTTACCTTCAGATTCATAACCTCAAATTATGGATGTAATCTAAAGGCACTTTCACACCAGAAAGACAACAAACAATTGTCCGTACAATTGTCCATATTGTATGGACAATGTGGAGTCCGTACTCTCACGGACTCCACATTGTCCGTGAGAGTACACAGACAATGTGGGAGTTCTGAAAACTTTTCAGATCTCATGTGTCTATAAATTATATGTTTAACATGTGAAACAACCTGCCCTCTTTCTCCTTGGTTAACTAGATAGTACATTTGTTTTTTATTTTTTCAAATACAAACTGTTTTTCCAACCTTTGCTATGACATTTACAAAGGAAGAATAGATAAGGAGAAGCCCAGTTGGTCACCTCATCTTTGTCTGAGGCTCAGATCTCCTTCTAAGCCACATCTGTGCATGAGAGAACCAGAGTAGAGCTCAGAACTGACACTCAGACCTCAGAGCATAGTCATGAAATTAAGTCACAATTTTAATTTTAACCTAATTAATAGTGATAATCATATTTTCTGTAACTCAAAATTAATTCATTTAAATTTTAAAATTTTGAAGTCTTGTATACAAAAGAATTTAAAAAGAATTTAAAAAGAATTCCACTCATATTTATTACTATAACTGAAGAAAGACCGACTTATGGAAGGAAAAGATGACTGTTGTTTTGCAAAGATATCCAATTGCTTTGAGGTATTTTCTTTTACCTTACTTGGGTTTGGCTTACTTTGATATTTTTTTAATCATGAAAAGTAAAGAATACATTTTCAAAGAAGTATATTTCTTTTGAGAAAAATAATTGAGGTATTGTGTAATCTTTCTAAAAGGAGTCAGTATTGTATTGTTGTTTTTAAGGTTGTGCACTTTTTTTTAAATTTTTTTTATTAGTTGCAATAACGTCTCAGAGTTTAGAAGGTGAAAGGCTTCTGATTGGGGTTGGTCCAAAATAAAAAAACTCTCAGTTGCTATAAAACAACTCTTGAAACCTAATTAAGATTCAGCTCAAATTTCAAAGTGCAAAAAAGATTCAGAGAACGTCATTGACAAGCAGTAATTTCAAACAGTATCCTGTGGACTTTATAAACGAATGAGGCTGCTGATCTCACTACTGGAACAAATGAACAAAGGTAGACGAAGAAGCTCTTGGAGCTCTGCTGTTCCGTAAAGTTGCGTATGCGATGGTGGACGTTGCTTTCACCTTTTTGTGCAGGCGGTGTGCGTCCTCGGCACTGTGTGTCAGGCTCAATGTGAGCGTGTTGAAGCAGGTGTCCCCCAGCGCTGCGTGTTCTCGGCTCTCCAGACGGGTCTGAGTCAGCAGAACGGACCAGACCTGACACACAGACTGACCCCACTGCTCCTTCCTGCGGATGGATGGACAATAACATGATCACTGCCCCGTCCTTTAAATGGACGCCTGTTTGACAACACGAAACAGGCGCGATAGGTTGTTCTCCGGAGACCAGAAAGGCAACCTCATCCCTTACTTTTTAGTCTTGTGAGTGAACCTCTCGGTTAGTTTGTCGAGGGCTCTTGCATATTCAGTCTCAATGTCTCCTCGGCGCCTGAGAAACTCAGACAGGTCTGAGAGCTGCTGCTGCTTCACCTCCACCTGGGAGTCTAAAATCTTTATCTGGTCTGTCAGCTGGGCCCGCAAGTCTGGTAAGTCAGAGAGACAGAGAGAAAGACAGAATAAATACATATTAATGACCCTGGAAGCATGCTGACATGTGAAAACACAGTGAACAGAGATAGGATGCTATTTTGAAACAAGAGGTGTCATTAGTCTTTCCATTAAACTAAAAATATAAACAGCTAATACTAGTTATAAATATGCTTATTTACAGTGTGTTAGATTTTAATATACATTCTTTACTAATAAAAGATACATACCAGCTGCTTTTCAATTACATATGTGTGCAAATCTTTATTCTGCTAATTTCGGAAAAACACAATTTTGCAATTAACTAAGAGATTACATTAAATCACATGTGAATAAGCTTGACCTTGTGACAAGTAATTAAAAATCATGCCAGTGAAGAATGTAAACAGTTACAGGAGATATAGTCATAATTCAGTACGCTTAAGTTGAACTGCATTTAGCATCATGGCATTAATTTTGACTGATTTGGCCATAGGTATCACCAAATTCTTAACATTCAATGTATCTGAGAAAAAAGAAATCTTGACTGGGACAAAATAATTGTGACCAATCAAAGGGCAAACTTAGTTAGACAGACTTGACAAGCATTTAGCGAAGTATCTATTTTAAATTTGACCCTTACACAGTTGAATAGTACAAGTTCCCATTTCTTTATTTATATCTATGAGAAATGCATCTCTCAAGTTTCAAGTCAGGCCTTTGCTCAGCTTTTAATTTTTTTTACTTCTCAGAAACAGTCTGCTACAGTTGATTATTTTTAAAATCCTTCCCATGCTTCTCTGTCTGCCACAAGTCAAGTCTTCAGAGATTTGCACATCCTGAGGAGATCTATCACAAACAGTGATGTGCAAGAACTGGACTAAAAAGAAGTAAATGTCAAGAGGAAAACACTAAAAGACCGTCGAAAACAGAGGAATGTGATACTGGGCAGTATTCCAAATGGTGTGAGAACACTCTGCTTCCATAGAAGCAAAGCTGAGTGAAACTACAATAGCATGATGATTTTGTTCATAACCTTAATATGTAGTGCAGTTAACAGAGTTCCACTGCCAGCAACTTCATGACAAAAGAGCAGATTTACCGTTTTATATGCATTCCTCAATGAAGGAACTGTGCTTTACAAGCGTCTGTATGTTGCTTTTGTAGGAAAATTTTGCAGAACTTTATCAGGATATTGCCTGATGACACTGAATACTGAACACAAAATTCTACCAGTTTTTAAGATTTATAAAACATTGCTATCTCCTCTATGTCATAATGTGATTGAGTTAGCAGCTATTCAACCACAGAAGACTTTGTGAAGCCTGCAGGAAATCCTGTATTTAGTTCTGAACAGCTTCAAAGTCCTTGTTAAAGAATAGCATCCCAACACCATGATGCTAACAGCAATGTTTAAATGTTTTGTGCAGTGTTAGAGTTCCAAATTACCTTGCTACTTTGTGTTGGTCTGTCATAGTTTTGGACACACTTCCACTAATGTGCTAATTGCTATTTTTTTGTTCAGCACTATTAGTGCATTTCTTAACATTGAAATGTTTAGCAAACTTTGCATCCCCTAAGCAAATTTTTCCACTTACATTCTGACGCTCCAATTTACCTGATCTGTTTTGTAAACTTTCAAATGAATAAAATTTGACAACTTTGAGGTTTAGGTTATTGACTGTGAACAATTCTTCAAGTAGTTATTTTGAAGTGACTGTTCACACAGCAGTTCTTTCTCCTCTCCTCTCCTCTCCTCTCCTCTCCTCTCCTCTC